AATTTGGCATCTACTGTAACTTCTAACCAGAACACAATGTACAATTCAATACATTTGACATTATTGTTCTTAGATGTGTTTACATTTGGCAAAATTTCAGCAAAAACATTTACACCCTTCATAAATTTATTACATATCGCAAGACTTGGGATAAATAATAAGTGTCTAGAATATGATGCGTATGAAATAGTGATTAGATGAAATTATTAATTATCCACAGCTCATGTTAGTTTTAGTTTCTGTAATGTTATAGGACCAACAACAGAGGCTAAACGTTATATAAAGTAGCCAAAAGAGGATAAATATGAAATTGGAATCAACAAAACGATTGAGAAGGAGTTTTTAAACATGGATAGTATTTTAGAAAAGCAGGTAAGTTAATATCATACTTTTAATATATTAAAAGTTATATACTGCTTATATGGTGCAAAACTTTAGAAAAGTTTTCAAAATAAAAATTGTTCATGCAAATAACTAGTATTTCAAAGCAATATGTAGAATTTTAAATGAAATTTTAACATAAAATACTGCATTCAGAACATCATGCACAAAATCATCTATAAAGTTCTAAAAGTTAAAATCAATGACATGAACAACATCAAAATGAGTTTGACTGAAAATAAAAACACACTAGAAATTTTTTGTGGTCTGAAGTCAGTACAGAGAGTTGTCTCCCTTTAATCAGCAGACTTTGGTATTATTTGCTGCAGATTTGTTTCTATTGCTTCATGCTTGCCATACAAGAATGAAATCCTTGTAAGACATTTGAATTCAATTGCATAATTTCCATTACAATACCAGTTTCATGGAAAGAAAGGTCAAAAGTCAAGAATCCTTGAGTAATTTTGTTTTTCTAGGATTGAACAAATTATGAATAAAGTTGAAATCATGCAACAATAGCTAAAAATAATGGTTAATATTAGAAGCAAAGCAATTTAAATGATAATAAAATGAAAACTATAAAACAAGTATAAGGCCTAGGCTACATGAGTGAGAACACTGATATATTTTCAGGCATAATGAAATAAAATTGAAAGCGCTTTGATGAGCACTACAAATTCAACATATTACTATGAGAGCTATGTTTTTTCACTTAACACTTTTGAACATGAACCCAGATACTTTGAAAAGAGCCAAAATTTGCTGACATTCAAAAGACTCAAAGCTGAGCACCCTGTGTACTCCAAGCAAGTACCCAACTTTATTTTCAAGAAATTTAAACATGTGATTAGTTTATGTTTTCGCCCAAAACTATATGTCAGAATATACTAAATTTTTCAATTTTTCCTCATGCCCCTCACACAGCACTAACACATTTTGAATCTCAGCTACCAAATACCCAAATTAGCTGGAGAAGTTTGCAGCCAAACGCTTTGAATTTTTTTCTGATATGCCTGTCGTTACTCACTATATGATCTATACTGTCTGTAGAATCTAACCAATCAGGGCTAGGAATGGTATTAGATGCAGGAGAGAGAGATATATAGCTACTAGACTTATACACCACCTTGATCAAAATATAACAGTTAATAATAAATAACATGCTACAATCTACGCCAGTCCTGTAAACAAATATTAGTAAACAACCATGCACTGAAATTCTAATGTCAGTAATGATTAGTAAGAACCAAAATTCAAGGATAAGCAAACTACTGAAGCACATTCTCTTTTGAGAATTCGGTATTACTTAAATGTACACTACTCTTAGGATGAGCAAAAATTCTAATTTTTAAACTTGGTTAAAATGAGTCTTTGTTTATCAGTGGCCTTACTTGGTGTCATAACAATACAACAGAATCCTTCTATAATCCAATAAATCCATAAAACTAAGTAATAATTTATTAAACTTATACCCCTTTCGCACTTTATTTTTATTAACACATCATGTCACGTGACAAAACATTAAAAACAAATATGGACGCTGGCAATTATAATTGGGGCATCGACGAAATTCGCTGCATGCTCGCTGTCTGGGGCGATACTAAAATTCAAGATGAATTAGATGGCATGAAAAGGAATAAACATGTTTTTTCAACTATTGCCAACTCGTTCAGATTAATAATGCCAGCTCTCATCCACCATTCCGACCTAAGTTGCACCCACAGTTGATGGGACTGAAATTCCTTGTTTATAAATAAAAAATATGAAAATAAAAACAAAAGCATTTTCTGTTTCCTCTTCTGATATATATTCATTCTTTTCCTAGACAATTCGTGTACTTTATTCATCCCGTCAAATATCATTATAACGTCTCCCCCAACAGGAGCCATTTTGAAGTGCTTATACACGTGACACCCCACGTGATAAACTTATCCGGATAACTTCTTGTTTGGTTTCACACTGCCACTTATCTGGATCGTATCCAGACGAAATCCACCTCTTGAGGTAGATTTTGCTATCTGGATAACTTCTGGTTATAACAGAATAAGTTTTTTTGCCAGTGCAAAAGCAACCGAAAGTTATTCGGATAGAATTCGATAGAACCGAATTACTTTTGCAGTGCCAAAGGGGTATAAGTAATTTTGAAACAGGCTTAGACACAAGTTTCAATAATAACTGAGTTTAATAGATATATCGTCTTTTATAGAGATTCTATTCCAACTGATGAATATATACTTGTGTGCACCAAGTTTGAGATTTGTCCATTCTAAGAGGTAATATCCTTCTAATATGAGGTTTCCAAAAAAGTCAGACCAACTTGAGTTTGACTTTCTAAATGTACCAAGGTTCAATTTAAATTGAAAAAAATTTATCACATCAAATTTCAATTCTGGATAATTAAGTTAAATTTTGATTTGCATTTCATAAAATTTGAGTGGCAATTCAAAATATTCTAGTTGTAGACTTCAGGTCGATCTTGTTAGTTAAAGAGATAGAGATAGATTTTTATTTTCATAGTAAAAGTTGCAATGCAATAATGGTAAAACTGAAAGGTGCATGCATATTGCATAAACACCTTTTTTTTTTATCAAGATGCTTTGCAAACCAAGTATCCTAACTTAAGACTAAATAGCAAAATATTCTATATGCTTCATGGATACTTTCTCTTTGCATTTATTCTGATCAATAAATTTTGTAACAAGGATAATATTTTATGGCAGTCATTATTTGATTATCTGAATCTATCTGTGTATTAATGGCCAATTTATCTGGACAATATAGCTTTACCCATCATCTCTTATAAGGTTTTATCTTTTTGAATAGATTATTTAAAATTAAAACTGCTAATACTGACTGCTAGGCTGTTAAGCAAGATTAGCTGTTCACACCTGAGATACAACTTCAACTAGATTCTTACATTTTTTGGTAAAACTTTACTTTTTAATATTTATGCAAATGTAAATAGCAGCTTCAAATTAAAATCCAAAATTAAAAATCAGCAAAAGAGTTCAAAGTTACCTGGTCATTTTCTTCCACATGAACATCTATCGTCCACATTTTCAAAAAATAAGACAGATACAGACAGAAATATAATGTTATTAATCCGGCTTCACACCCTAAAAGCTTGTTAAATCCTAGTTGAAAGATATTATTGTTCTAACACAGGAAATGGATTCTTATCTTTTTAATTTGAATTAAACCGTAGTTACCTGTATGTTGGCCTTAATACAACAATAGGGCAGGAAAATATTTCTTGGCGTAGGGTTTTTTATTCTAAACCCTGAATTTTTTATTGGATCAATATGTCTTTTAAGGGTTAGCAAAGCCAGTTCCTCAACTCAACTGTAGTTATATTATAATGAGCTATGTCAATTCATCCACTTTAGAATTGTTATCCAAGAAATAGGTAATCTTATTACTAAGGCTTATATGTGAACCGGTCATATCTGTGCTAGATGACTTTTAATATCTGAACATACATGCATCATACTGACCATATTCCTATGGTCATCAAGTTAAAAACATCTATTGTATTATTAAGATAAATAAGGTATTCCAATTTAATTGTTTACAATGTGTTACTGATTAGATTTATTTTATTTTAACAATTAAAATAGTTTCATTTGTTGCAAGAAGGTGTATTTATCTAAATAGGATTTCTATGTTCAGTAAATTGAACTTATTATTACTAAGTTTAAATTACTCAATTGAATAAAATTGTACTTGTTACTAAGTCATTCAGTTGAGCTTGGTTAAAATTTGATTAAATTGTATTTGTTTTTAATTTGATTAAATTGAATTTGTTTTTAATTTGATTAAATTGTATTTGTTTTCAATTTGATTAAATTGTATTTGTTTTTAATTTAATTAATTTGCATTTGTTAATATTGTTGCGTTATTAACTATATTTCCTAAACATACAGGGAATAAATTGTGTATGTTGTAATCATTTCTTATTCTGCTTTAAAAAATCCCATCATTCATTATTCAGTAGTGAAAATTGCATTTGTCGTTAGTTGTGGTTAAAAAAGGAATCATTAAGAAAATGATATTGTGGTGGAAAGAAAATGAAGAATAAAACAAAATTGAGAAAATATCAAGGGATCAATTATCTAAATTTTCCACATAGCCTGAAGAACCATTCCAAAGTTAATGAATGTCTGAAAACCTGAGAATGACTTTAGTGGGAAATTTCAAACGGAAATTGATGGAAGGCAGTGAAGCAATAAATATTGTAAGTTTGAAACGAATGGTATTGTCTGCTAACCTGATTTCTCTATGGTATTACACAAAACTAGTTAATGTTCCAGAAGAATTTTTCAGTCTTTTTATATTACATAAAACATTACATCTCATGGCATGTCTTAATAAATAAACAGATCAGATTTTGTTTTCTATTGGTATAGGGTTTCTTTGGATATTGCATCTAAATTGGTAGATAAATTAGTAGATGTAACATTATCTAATATAAATCAGACTGGCAATAGATTTGAGGACATGGAATTCGTAGTTTCATTAATTCAAAGCCTTTATCTTTGAATTTGGAATTCAGAAAAGAAACAGATGTTTGTTCAAGTCTGGAGATTACAGACTGTGCCAGACCATATATAGCATTAAATTCAAATGGAGAAAGTTAGTACCTTATTTGGTCTTTGTTGTCTGGAATCTGAGTCATTACTGCTAGGTCGCCCTGCCATTCCGTCTGAATCTGTCACACCATTTCCCCATGAATCAGCCTCATTATCACTTTTGTAATAAATATGTCCACAACTGTGCCATTTTTTAGACAGTTTATTGAACGGTCTTGGAGACATTTCCTCTTGCTCTTTTTTGTTAATTTCCCACATTCGAAGCATGTTACGGACACTCGTGGAAGGCTGAGTGACCTCTTCAAGAGGCGTTGCACTACTTATCACTTCGATGTCAACATTTTCAGTTTTATTGTCCACATATTTTGATTGGTTATGTTTGGGACTACTTTTTGTAGGTGAAATGTTTATGGTCTCATCTCTAGAATTCTCAAACATTTTGCGTAAATTACTAATAGGTTCAACTATAATGTCTTCATCAAACTCAGAGTAAGAACTCTCATGGTCCTTCTCATTGAAAGATTTTGAACGATCCTTAGATTGTTTTGATGGAGTATTTTGATTTGAAAGACTTTCATGTAGTGGTGGTTTGGTTTGCACAGGGGTGACATCCTGTTGACGCATATAATGTGGAAGACTAGAAGCTTGAGGTGTGGAAGTTGCAATTATTTGGTCATTCTGGTGGAATTCTTGACTGTCAGTTTCTTGGTGCATATCTACTGAATCCCTGATGATATTTTCTGACATAGTTGCCAAATCATCCACATCCTTTGAGACATTATTGTCCTCTTCAGTATGATTGTCATCAGAGTGAGTATTTTGATGATCTCTTGGTTCATCCATAAATTCTGATGACCTTATGATTTCATCTTGCAGGTTCAGTAATGTGGCCTCATTGTCTTGAAGTTTCATAAACATTTCCATATTCTTTTTCTGAATTTCTTCAAAATCCGCTATTTCTTCATTATTTCCTAGTCCTCCCTCCATGTTTTCTGAAGACTCATTTTGTTTCACTTCTGCTAACTCATTCTTACATTGGTCAATATTTTCATTATTCACAACCTCTTCAACAAAAATATTGTCATAATTTTCTCTATGGACTGATTGATTCATGGTATCATCTTCCGGAATAAAATGACTTTCTGTAGTCCCTGATTCACCGTTGGTTTGATCTTCTGTGCTTTCATCATTTTCTGCGGTGCATGATTGATTCATGGTATTATATTCCGGAATTAGATGACTTTCTGTAGTCTCTGATTCACCGTTGGTTTGATCTTCTGTGCTTTCATCATATTCTGCGGTGAATAATTGGCTTTTGGTCTCATCTTCTGGAATTTGATGGATTTCTGTAGTCCCTGATTCAATGTTGGTAAGTTCCTCTGGGCTTTTATTAGTTTCTGTGGCGTTTGATTCACTGTTGGTTTGATTCTTTGTAATTTCATAGTTTTCAGTGGCAATTGATTCGATATTGATATTATCTTCTGGAATTTCATCATTTTTTGTCACTGATTTGCTGATGGTTTCATCTGGCTCAAAATCAAAATTTTCTGTGATGACTGAGTTGCTATTTGACTCATATTTTGGAGTTTCTTCAAGTTCAAGTACATCATCCTGATTTGTTGTCAAATTTTTTGTCATTAGATCCTCAACTTTCAACTGATCATTTATTGCCAAGTAAGATTCAGTAACTTGATCAGTTTTCTCAATTTCATCAAAGAATTCATCATAAGGATCATGGATATCAGATTTCTCTTGAAAGTTTTCAGTATCAGGACTTTCTACAAGACTGCATTGTTCATTATCTACATGTTCACTATCTAAATGCTCTTTTTCCACATTATCACTACAGATATGTTCATCAAGTAACGAGGAAGACTGTTGTTCACTCTGTAATGTTTCTGTCACAAACTCTTCAATATCTGCAATGTTTTCCAATATATTAGTTTTGGAAAATTCGGAATCTTCATCAATGCGATCTGACTTTGGTGCATCTAGTAGTTCTGATTCCTTGTTTGTTTCAATTGGTTCTGCTGTGTCTCCCCTATATGAAGTATCCTTACCAAAATGATCTGATACCAACGCAGTATCCATGAGCTGTCTTTCTACCAGAGTTCGTTCAGAAATTTGGTTGTCAGGGTTGGTGAAATCAGCTACAGTAAATTCTTTCATTGGTTTGTTTCCTAAAACAATTTCATAATCATTTCCAAAATTCCTCTCGTCCACAACATCTGGTCCATCAAGATTTTCATCAGACATTTTCTGATCATCCAGTTGGTAATCATCTTGTTGAACCTCAACATAACTATCCTCAAGTGTAGAATCCTTATCATCTGGTAAATATTTACCACTTTCAGCCACGTCTGTTGCATCTACACATTCTTCCAGCCAAGAATCCTGATTTTCTTTAAGTGAAGTTTCATTATCATCCTTTTTAAACACTTCCACAAAATCCTTATCATCATTGTCTTGAGTTTGACTATGGGGAGTAATATCAACAAAATCATCACCAAATTGAAACTGGTTGGTTCCATTTTCAGGCAAATCATCTGAAGCAAAAGGAGGTGATATCAAACTCTCATCCTCTTCAATGATTGGTTGTTCACATAATGGCGTCTGGTCAAAATAGCGGTCTTGAATGTCAGTACTTTCATAAATAATACTAGGATTTACCTCATATAAGTCATCCTCAAAGGAATCCTCCTTGACAGCCTTTTTAAGTCCAATTTCTGGAAAGTTTGGTTCATTTTGTAACATTGAAAAAGAGTCATTGCCTAGAAAGTCATTAACATATGAAGTCTGACTTGGAGAGGACACAGAATCCATAATCATTGAATCAGCTTGAGACACTTCTATAATGGATTCCAAATTATTGCCCTCGGAATTAGGACTTTTGAGCTGATCATTAGAAAATGATTCACTAATTTTGCTATCCTCAATAAAGGATCCTTGAGACAAAAATCCACTATCACTTATCACACTGGCAGGACTTTCTTCCTTTTCTGGAGTAACTAAAGACTGATTCTCCAAGTCTAAACTTTTATCATCAAACACATTATTACCAGCAGACATGTTGTTAATCCCAGGCTCTAATGAGTTCGTCTGATCAGAGGAAAACACATCAAAAGAAAAGCTATCATCCATCTTACTTTCCGAATTAGAAAATTCCACTAAAATTGGACTTAGAGTATCGGTCTGTAATGTATTAGATATATCCATACCACTATTCACGCTTTCACCACTAATACTAGACTTCTCCCCTTTACGTGGTTTGCCTTCCGATTCAGATTTCACATTTTTGAAAAATGAATCTAATTTTTTACTTCCTTCATCATTACTGTCACTTTGGAAGTTTAAATCAGATTTGTTCCTAGTTTCAGTTATCACATCATCTGATTTTATTTGAGAACTACTCAACACATTGAAATCAATATTTTCACCGCTAGTATTAATTTGAACATTGTCTTTATTTACCGTTTGGTGGCTAACTGTGGTATATTGAGGTACAGTTGACAATATGGAGGTTGCCGTCTGATTAATATCCATCGTAACACTCGGAGAATTTGGATTTGTATATTCAGTAGATAAATCATTTATTCCGTTAGGTTTGTCTGACATTTTCTCCACACTATTTACGAATTTATTTCCATCAATGTTAATGGGGTCTACACTTGAACCAATTACGGACAATAAGTCGGTTGTTTGAGACTGAGGGTCTGTAATATTGGATTTTAGCTCACTTATTTCATTCAAGACCACTCTTTTTTCACTTGATTCCACATTCTCACCGTCCGTAGATTTGTCACAATTTTTAATCTTTTCATTTTCAGAAACATGTTTTGTAGTCTCTGTTTGATTTGCATCTGTAGCCTTATGTTTTTTAGTCAATCCCTTCAGATAAGATGTTAATTTTGATGAACCGCCTTTTCCTTTACCCTTTCCCTTGGCTTTTGGTTTGGTTTGCGGTTCCGTTTCAAGTGTGGTATCTGGAGAACTGACAGTTTCTGACTGACTTTGATCCTGTTTATTGATTCCACTCATATTGTCACTAGAACTGGTAAGGTTTAAGTGTTCCAAAGAATTTTCAGATTCACTTAGCGTTTTATCCATAGACATGTTAGATGTATTGGAGCTTGCCATATCGTAATTACGATTCATTACATTGTCAATACCAGAGTCTGATGGGTATAATTTACTACTTATTTCAAAATTATCTGTCGCCAGAGTATCTTCTAATTCATCAATACTGTATTTCCTGTCCACAGACGCAATTTCCTCAAAAGTATATAGTATTCCGTTTTTTGTTTGATTTTCTGTCTGTTCAGATGTTGATGTGGCCTCTGCTAAATTTAATTCCATATTTGAAGTGTCATTGAAAATGTTTCTGACCTCAACGTTATTATCGGTCTGAGTCCGATTTTGACTAGATTCAGAAAGACTAGACAAACTCAAGTCTAAACTCTCACATTCACAATGAGTTTCTTCTTTAATTGCACTTTCCCTAATTCCTTTTCTTGCATACTGTACTTGCACAGGTTGGGCATATAATTCCCAAGGGTTCTCAAATCTTGCTGCTACTCCGAGTTCCACAGTATATTTTCCGCAGTCTGGTTGATCTTCATTTTGTTCAATCCCTGGCATGGTTGCTTTCCAATATTTCCTTTGCAGCTTAGTTTCATTTTGAATACATGTTATAGTTTGACGTCTGTTGAAATATTAAATAGCGTGTAGATAGTTTGTGTCTATTCAGTGGACATCACTCTGAATAAAATAAATAAAAACAAATTATCAAAATGCTTGAAACAAAAAAGTTCTTTAGAATTATGTGAAAACATAATTCAAGGATGTTAACTTTATAAAACACATTATGTGACACGTGAAGACAAACTTGGAGGAAACCAAACTAAAACTACTATGAAATACCCCTTACAAAAGTGACTTATTCAAATCCTTACCACAAACATATTATGTTAATATTTTATCTCTATACAACTAAAGAGGATATAAACACAAAAGACCTTTTCAAACATAGCCAATTATATAAATGTGTAACATGGTCAAAGCAATGAGTAAATGCTCTGTATGTTTAATATAGAGCCAAGTGCTTAGCCTGTTAACAAAAGCAGTTATTATGCTCTATTTACTGCCTATAAACTCCAAGTGCTTAGCATGTTGACATTTTTAGTTACTGCCAAATCAAAGATAAAGTGACATATTCAAAATAACAATATCCATTCATTATGAAATTGGCATAATCCACTTAAAGGGATTGTAAAGATTTATCATGTGTGTTGGGGACCCTGATAACATTAAATTGTATACCAATTTTCAATCAGATGTCTGCAATACCACTAAAACCAAGTATTTGATGACATCACTAATCACGAAGGGCATTATTCGATAAAGCATATTTTGAAAGTAGTAACTTCATAAAACATTTAGTTTTAGTAGAATTACAGGAACCACATACATCTGATTAAAAATTAAAAAGTGACAATTGATGATATCAGTGTCCCTGATACACATTAAAGTTTTAAAAAACCTCTTTACAATACCTTTAAAGTCTCAATTAAAGTGTATTGAAGTGGAAAAGTGAATTTCTATTGAGTATATTTACTAGAATGCACAGGTTAAAGGAAGTCTTATATAGGACATAACCATATCAGTAACCAAGATCAAAACTCAATGACAACCCAACTGAATTTGGCCTTCACAAATTAGTTCAACTTAAAGTACTAAACAGTCACTACCAAGATCAAAACACAACTCACGGTACTGTAAGTAGAAATCACTAATTCAATTTATAGGAATTAATCAAGTAATTAACCTTAATGAAGTCTTGATTACTTTTAAACTAAATAAATATCTTCAGACACAGTTCACCAATTACCAAGACAGTTTCACTTGCAATGAAGTTATACTAGTAAGTGAACACACCTAAATAACTTAATACCTATCAATATTCTGTCAATTTATTGCTCATATAGGTTTGTTTTGCCCAGTGAACCCTTGAGGTCATTGCAAATCTTTAACATCAACTCCAAAAAACTATGTTTATTTTTTTGTACTATACTTTACTATAAATGAAGGAAAAAAGGCTTCTAAAGAAATCCATTGAGCTCATCCCTGAATACCTCTTACTGACTCTATTTAAAATCTTCAATAAATTGGCCGCTATCATTGATAATCAAAATGCCATTGTAGGCAAATTTATGAAAATGTTAAAATCAAATATCTAAGCAATTAATATTTCACAAATAACTTGTAACATTCAAGGAATTGTAACTAATTTCCATGTCATTTCCTGTTAATCTCATAATGCATGCACTGAGGGCAAATATAACCAACCGATTGAGATGATCAATACATAGCCTAGATATAATCTCCAATCATTGAAGCAGAACATTGAGATAGGTAAATATAGTCCACTTTCATGTAATAAATGTACATATATAGTTATCAATTTCTCTGATGCATACCAATCACTCACAATCATATAACCTAGACAACATAGTTATTCATATAACCTAGACTGTTATAACTTAATTTCAGATGTAACTTCATTAATATTTCTGATGGATGGAAGTAGAGAATCATGTTCGTGTAACACAGACAACAGCATTCTAACTTAATTTAAGATAAATACATCAATAATTCAGATGTGAATAATATCATTTTTATCAATTTTTATAACATTACAGTCACTTTGGTATAACCAAGGCCACATCATTATAATCTTTTTCAGGATATTTCAACAGTGTCAACTACTTCTGTATGTTCCATTTGCCAGTCATAAGAAACTCAACTAAAAATTCTTATTACTGACATATAACCTACACAAGATATTCCAATATAATCTACTAAAGATATTCCAATTAATGACATATAACCTACACAAGATATTCCAATATAACCTACACAAGATATTCCAATATAACCTACACAAGATATTCCAATTACTGACATATAACCTACACAAGATATTCCAATATAATCTACTAAAGATATTCCAATTACTGACATATAACCTACACAAGATATTCCAATATAACCTACACAAGATATTCCAATATAACCTACACAAGATATTCCAATTACTGACATATAACCTACACAAGATATTCCAATATAATCTACTAAAGATATTCCAATTACTGACATATAACCTACACAAGATATTCCAATATAACCTACACAAGATATTCCAATATAACCTACACAAGATATTCCAATTACTGACATATAACCTACACAAGATATTCAAATTGCCAGTTTAACCTAAACTAGATTCTATTTATCTGCTGGTATAACTTTGCATAACCTGGGCAAGAAGACCCTTTAACCTGCTTGTCACTTCTGTATAACCTACTAAGAGAAATCACTATACGTACTGATCATTTCGTATAACCTAGAGTAGATTCCCTATAACCTGCCTGTCTCTTTCGTATATCCCACTGAGAGTAGAATCCCTATAACCTGCCTGTTGCTTTCGTATAACCTTTGACAGAAATTTTAATGAGCACTATCTATTATATATAAAGACACTAGACAACAGAATCTACAAATTAGCACGGCTAGAGCCAGGGTGATAGAAGAATGGTTTCATTACTAATTAAAAGATTTGTTTATAAATAAATGATACAGGAATCAAGGTCATGGTGTACATGAGATAAGAATGTCTAATTAGTCAACATCAGTGTAGAACCAAACACTCAATATTTCTTTGAATCCCAATACAAGACAAGCAATACAAAATGATGTTTTAGCTTACTTTGCTGTCCCGATTCCAGAGAGCTAATCAACATTATTTTATACAAACAAGGTTCTGTTTCAGACATATCATTATGTGTTCAATACAAGTAAGTCTTGAAGGAAAAATATTCAGATAGGAACACTACATTCACTATTTTCAGTAAACTTTCAAAACACCATTTCATAATTTGAAGTATCTATTTCAACAAGAAGAAAGCTTACTTAAATCTTGAGTCAATTAATGCTTCAAACACCACAAATGAATTACCATTATATAGATATAAAAATACTGTACATTTCCTTAAATGATATAATCAAAATTATTCAATGCCTGACTACAGAATAATTCAGCAATACAACAATACAGTACCTCACCATTGTCAAAGAAGAATACTCAACAGGGACTTCCTCACAAATTGAATCATCTTCAACTGAAACTTGCAGTAATGTAATTTGAACTGGAGATGTGATTAGAATAAACAATAAGAAACACCTACCCTAGGCCATGTCACTGACAGATGTTATATAACACTCTATTGTCCTTTTAAAATAGCAAGAACACATCTTGAACACACAATGTCACATGACATTTTCACTTTAGTCTTTCCTTCAGTGTTTCAAGAAAATGACATCAAAGAGTAGAACTCTTCATTAAAGAAGTTAAAAAAAACTTTTCACTTTCATTGTTGCTATCAATTTTCAAAATTCTTTGAATAATGCATCAAGATTCAAAGTAACACAATGATGAAAATCGCTATTTGATTCAGTAAATTCTTATTCTCCCTTCAAAATTCACCAATAAAGGGGGTGTTTTCATTTTCCTCTTATAAACATTTAAACTGATTAGAGTTGAAATAGGGTCATCAATGATTAGAAACGTGAATATGAGATAAGATAGCTAGCAATATCATTTTCAAGGTACAGGGGGTGTCACTGCATTTAATTACAAACAGGGCTAATTAGATATGCAAATCACTGTACTTAAACTCATTAATTTAATATGTCATTAGCCAAAACTGATATACTGAATAAATATAACAAACCAATTATCATCTGATGACAAATTTTTTTTTAAAGTTATTTCTGAATCAAAGGAACAACATACATCCAATGAGACAGATGATGCAAATAGTCTCTCGGATCACAAAATCTTTCAAAAACTTTGTTTAATCCTTTTAACCAAACCACATTTTGTGCAAAATAGTTCACTATAGAGAGATCTTCAAATTTACCACTGCTAAAAATAAGCCACACATATGAATCCCTCAATTATATCCTCTTCAAATTATTTACCAGTACATAGCAAATTCAAGCTTTACTCTCCCAGAAACACCTAATTTCATGGTCCTAAATTTTGGAACCAGCTACTAGTAAACAGTTTCAAGGCATTGAAATATATTGATAATTGATAACATTGATTTTATAAATTATAAATAACTTGTAAACTAAAGTGATAAATTTGAGATAATGATATAAGGATATTAAAATGACACACCTTATAAACCTGTTATAGATACATCCTATCACGACATTGAACATAACATGATAGCAATATTAGTAATCGTGATATTTTACAGATTCTCACTTAAAGTTAGTATTAAAAAAATATCAAACACATCAATATTAAAAATCAACACTTTCTGGCAATTTCAGTTTTCATTACAAAAGCAATTAAACAGAAACTGTTGCTGTCCATCAATAGGTAGGACATCATACAAGTTTGAAAGAAAGGCTTGGTCTACCATATCACAGTAATGAATGGTAGTTCAAACATCTGTGGCTGGTTGTTCAGGACTACAAGAGTTTGTAAGCAAATGAATGACCAGGGAGGAAATCATTTTGACAAATATTGGTATGACAGATTTTAATACTTGAACAAGAAAAAGAAATTTGCAAGACTTCTATAAAGGCAGCGCTCTGTAACTACCAACTGCCTGATGTTGTTAATAATTTTCATAACCTTCAAGTAACAATTCAGTCACTTTCCTCCAAAGATCTTGACATTTCATACCTAATGATAATAGACAGCTAACAGTTCTGTTTGTCTGACCTCTATGCGTCAATAACAATTTATATTTCATAGTTGATCACTAGAAGTAATGAAGTCATCTTTATTTATTACTTATTGTCTACAGACCAAGTTGACAAATTATATATATGACCTTGAACTGCCAACTTTCAAAACATAAGCAGACTTCAAATGACATTTATCACACATTTGGATTTAGCACTATCTTTAAAGATTCTCCAAGAGCAGTTCAGAGCATTTATTGACCATTAATGTACCATTTCTTAGATTAAGTCAATAAACAAGTGACAAGGAATACAGTTACCCTTAAAAATCCAAAATCCATGACATGAAATTAGTCATCCTGTTTCATACCACCAAGGTAACCAATTGAAAATAACACAGTAATATCTTTTAGTTGCATGTAAAACCTGTTTCAAAATCATCAAACCACAACAAATTAGATGAGAAATTATCTAGTAAAATTAAAGTGAATTTCTGAATCTGAATCCAAACCAACGATACATAATTTTACTTATATGTAAGCACACATCACCATTACTATCTTTCTGCTGTCAAGATCATCAAGTCAATAATCACCTCCTATTATACTCAAATATATGGTTTACCTTGAAATTGATAACATCCAAGGAAGATTGAAATGGGGTAAACAAGTTGCAGCTCACACCTTCAAGTTGTTCACGATGTCAAAGTGTACATAACTTGTGGTGTCAAACCTTTCACAAAATTACCAATAATCTTATAATCTTTAAACACACAACAATCATTCTAAACCAATCAAACTAACGACTGCAGGCAAATCTCACTTTAAAACTGTTCAATTTATCTTCTATCTACTTGAGTTTAAACTTCATTTTAATCTGAATGACAAGTGGAGATGAAACTGATGGTATTTAAATTGGACTTGTTCATGAATACTTTAAAGAAAATGACCCAGTTTGTTTTCTGTCTTTAATGATGACCAAATATTCAGATACCAAAAATTGCAAATTACTTACTGGTCCTTTATTACTGCAATTTACATTTGATTCAACAGATTTTTGACATCACCAAATCCACTCTGTCCATATCAACTCAAATTTTTCACTGACATAAAAATTAAATATACCAGAATTATTCTACCATTGGATAACAAGAACAAGTCATATTGTATGGAATTAACAGAGAAAAAACATTCCTCTTCATGTCATCCTTGCAGAATTGTTAACATCTTGATCTCAAAACTTTACCTCACAAAATATTTACAGGATGCAAGTTAGTTGGCCGAGACATAGGCAAATGTACCAATGGTTTAAATGCTTTTTTTGATTTTGTCTATTTTGAAGAAAGTAAGAGTAAGTTGTGAGGTATATTTAAAGTAAGAGTAATTATGTAAGTTAAACAATAGGTCTAGTCAGTAAGTCAACAAACACTATTTCAATAGGTACCTGTTAAATAACTTAAGTTATAATAGTACACTTCACAGTTTAACAACTTAGATCTTTAAAATAGAAGTCATTTTTTTAAAAAAACTTATATGAAGACTTGCATTGATGTTATGTGGCTTGAACTCTGCAATTATGCACCATATCAAAAGACCCATATAACCAAAGTCAAAACCCCCTATCACCATGGACAAAAGACCTACAACCAAAAAGTTGTCCTTGGTTTAGGTGATTGAAAAGCAACAAGTAACTTTTCAACTGAAGGTACTGGCACAGGATTTAAATTTTCTTTATAACAACTGTGATGCTAATATAAAATGAACTAAAATTAAAGGAAGTAAATTGTTAATAGTTATCATACAATTATTTGGACCTAAAATGATAATTGAGAAACTTATGATAATAATAATGTTTAATATCAACAACTGCAAAACCAACTTTCAAATTTCAACTGTTGTTGTTGTTGTTCTTTAAGGGATTGCCTTTACTGATATGCAATAAAATCAATGATCAGCATTTGATAAATGAAGCAAAATTGACTGCTACATGTAGAAAATTATCAGTGATGATGTATGTTATGGGAAATGGAGATATCCTGGGAGAAAACTGACTAAATTAAACAATCTGCTGTCTTAACTAGACTATTGATCTGTTGGTTCATAAACAGTCTCAATGTTTTGCTCAATGCTGTAGGGTCAACTCTGATTGAAATATCAACTAATACAATCAACATCACAAATCAATTCCCATCATGGTAATAAACTCTTAAATATCATAGAAGAACCTGATTAACACTTGCTGGTAGTCATTAACAATAGACAGAGAGACCCACCATTTGACTAGTCTATACTAATCTGCTGACACTTTTCCAGATCCTACAATTCCACCAATTACTAATAGTGACCTGTCTTTTTTATAGTTGCTGAAAAAACCTTGGAGCAGAAATGCCCCACTGTAGGGAAAAAGCTGCTGTTATAAGCCTCATTAGTTGCAAGGATAGGATTCATCGTTTAATGTCAATTTTCATGCGTTACAATACGATATGGTTTGTATTCACCCAGAAGGGCACTCAATAGGTGGTCCAAGGTTCTTTCACTAGAGTTGCTGTAAAGCCCATATTAAAACAGGATACAACAAAATGTTCCCATTTACAGTAGAATGTTCCCATTATGTTCCCATTTACAGTAGAATGTTCTCATTTACAGTAGAATGTTCCCATTATGTTGCCAATTACAGTAGAATGTTCTCATTTACAGTAGAATGTTCCCATTTACAGTAGAATGTTCTCATTTACAGTAGAATAGAATGTTCCCATTTATAGTAGAATGTTCCCATTTACATTATTCTGAATTATTGTTTTTCCTAACAGTCGGCGAGTCTGTTCTAGAATATTTCTGGCTTACCTCTTTGAAATTGAATAATTTTTGTAAAGTATGAGATATTTAGGTAATCCTTAAGCAACATAAAATTGTGTTCCGTTATTTAATATATCATTTTAAAGCATAAGAAGGATTTAAACCAATAAAGTGCTAAAATCAATAACGCTTGTAAAACTAACCAGCGATTCTCCTTCATTCAGCTAGCCTAAAGGTTTACTCAACCTAAGTAGAATTTTGACCTTATCTATCTATGTTCTTACCTACATTATTAACCGTTCACAATAATATACAAGTGTACCCAATCTTATAATCTGTGACTTAAAAACCATGTGAAGATCTCATTGTAAATGACATTTAAAAGCAATACCATTATTAGATCAAGGTAATGAAACTAGGAATGGAGCCATGATTGAATGTCTAAGCTCAATCCAATGTATTGATGTAATAAAACCAGATATAAAGTATGATTGGAGTCCTTGAAGGAAAGGAGTTGAAAGACTTGATTGTCAATAACATTTCCGTCGCTTATAAGAATTAGAATCTTAGGAATATTAAATGAAATATCGATTGAATGTCATTATATAGATATGAAAGATGCACAGACAAGTTATTTCATATTTTTGGGTAATTTCCAATATTTTTTTATTATGTATTTCATAGTTGGTTCTACAATACCTTCAATATATCTTACAGGGATGTTAAAAAGAGAAGGGAAAAAAAACCCTGGATAGCCACTAATGTTCTAATGCATTGGATCCTGTCTGGTATCCTGTCCTTGATCAAATTAGATTTAAAGCTTCAATAAACCAAGACTGAAAATGAAATGAAATGGAGTTTTACATCCTACTTTTCTGCAACATGTGGGCTAATGAAGACCCTCTACTTTCAGGTTAGCGAGCAAGTGTCTTACTCACTGAGCAACTGCGGCTCCCAACAGAGACTGGAGTTAGATCCTATGATCGCCATTTTTTTTAAATAACGTTGATGACTCAATTAAAGCTTCAAAACAGATTGTTTCTTTATTAAATCAAAAATTGACCTTGGAGAGAAATTTATATTATGAAACAAAAAATCGCTGAAAAGCAACAGAAATTGTGTCATTATCCCATTGTACAGTATCAAAAGTTGTATAACACACTTGACACCAGTTCACTTTTTCTCACAAGATTCACAATAGAAATACTAAATACATACTATATAGTTGACCAAACCTTACCTTAATCACTTATCAAATACTACACAAAATTCAACAAGCTGTCAAAAAAAAAATCTTTGAAATCTCAAATTGGATAAAAACCCACAAAACATCAGTATAAGGTTTGAATGGTATTTTAGTTAGTGACACCTTTTCTGAAATTATGAAGAATGAATTTTGGAGAATGAGAAAATGCAATAGTGCAAATACCAGCTATTATGTCACAGAGTAATATAAAAATGCTGAAGAAATGAAATGAAATGAAATGAATGGAGTTTTGTGTTCTACTTTTCTGCACCATGTGGGCTAATGAAGACGGGCAACACCATGCAGGGTGCAATGAGGGAAATTTTGCCAGGAAAATGCTGGAGAACTCCTTCTGTATTCTGAATGGTATTCTAAATGAAGACATCATTTTACATTTTCCTCAACATAAATAGCTAAGCAAATAATGGATTTTTCACAGGTACATGGTGACTTATGTCCGGCTTTCAATTCCATTGTACATATCAGACCTCATTAGTGGCGTTATAACACAACTAGGGAGATAATTATCTATCTGACAAGAAAGTGCCAGTAATTTGATGCCAACTTGACAGTAGAATATCTACACGCAAAACTCAAACTATGAGAAATATAAAAAACAATTTGTTCATTAAATATTCCCACAGAAACATCAAATATTTTACATTTCTCATTTCCAAAAAAAAAAAAAAATCAAACTTGTCAAAAAACCAAAAACATTGTCAAGGACTGACTGATCAATATAAACTCAAAACTAAACCTGATCAAAAACTGACTGAATCAATATTGAGAACATATTTTACTTATGCCGATTCTTTTTCTTATATACATCTAGTAGATCTGATTTTCAGCTTTCCAGGCCCCCTGGAACGATCTTAGCAGTAGGATTTCAAAGAATCAATGTTAGAAGATAAGAACCTAGGACATCCTAGTGCGAAGATCGTTTCCAGAATACTGGGCCAGAACGCCAAAAAGTCCTTCCTTTCCTAGATATCATTTAGCCAAAATTAGACCTGAAAAAATAAACTTAAATGAGGTTTGTTGAAAGTTAGCAGAAATGAAAAATCTGCATATAAGATTTGAACACCATTATTATGAATAATATCAAATTTAATTTGGCTTTAGCACCTAGAATTAAAGGATAACTATATTCTTTCCTTCAGTTAGTCCAAAGAAATGACACATACCATAAGTATAACGGTTTTCCAACACACTGGGAAATTCAGACTCTCCTGTAAAAAAGATTAAAATGTCACAGTACAAAATTATGACATCAAATCATTTCGCTGAATCTTTCTTCCTTAAGTTTTTTTTGTACAAAATATCAGTTTGAATAACCAATTATATTTCACAAAATCCTTCGGGCAAAAATTACACATCCACTAGTAAGTTGAGAGATAAAAATCGGTCCACAATTTTTTCACACTGTCATATTTTCTGAGTTTAGATGACACCATGTATGATACAAGTTAATAAACATACAAAAGAATAAGAATCAATCAAGGATATTATTGATCTGTGTCACTTCCTGTTTGGATTATACCGCCTCAAATGTCGTCTGCTAAAATCATGATTCAACAGTCATCAGCCTTTAGTTTAGAATTTTTTCCCAGTGACAATACGACAACAAAGAAAGCTGGTTATAAAAATCAATTCTAATGATTCAGAACCCTTTTGTCCTTCTTTATGGTGACGAACTCTCTAATGACAGAAGCTGAAAAACAAAAATGTTTAGAATCCCATTAATCAGATATTTTTTCAGAACATTGACATTTTCAGATTTGCAGGTTTCAATGTACGTTGATGCTGTCTTTTTTCAAGATTTCGTGTCATTTAGTTCTGGTTCCAGCAATTAATTGAAATTGTTATTGAATATACAATGAAACAGTTACAAAATGTCACTCTCTTCTGCTTTTCAGATCCAATTTTATCTTCGCACTTTAAGCACATTTTCACTTTTTTTTAAAAGTTTGTCTATTGAAATTAAATGTCAACGAAGATTAACTGACACACTCACATCATTTTCCATTAGCCAACAAATGTTGATAGCTTTAATTTCTTTGTTCTGTTCACAATCAATTTATAATGGTAATAAGTTGACAACTTCAACACTTGCTGATGAAAAAAGTATCAATTTCTTCTCACAAAGGATTTTTTATCAACGCCATTTCAGATATTTTATATGAAAATCAAACGTGACTGAATGACCAACTTCACGTCAGTCACAAGATGTTACAGTTAATCCTATTGTTCCACTTATTGTTCTTTGATACATGTTTGACCAAGACTTAAGAGATATGCACTGTCCTGTCAACGAGAGTAAACTACCACATGACATTGTTGACGTGGTCGTGATGGCGAACCAATCCAAACCTTTGCAAACCGCAATTCTTATGTATGGGGAAATTGGTAAACACTCTTTGTATTGCTTGTGTACACAAGTTTGATCCTGGCTGTAGACAAAATGTATACATTTCTGTTTATTGCCAGTGGTAAGGTTAACTCACTCATTTATACAGCTTGGATGAGACAAAAATCCTCTGTTAACAACTCTTTAAGTTTGAAAACACATTTAGTGTAATGAGATTTTGATTGAAGTTATAGCCCTTTGAGTTGTTTGCTTTTTTCCATGATCAATATCATTTCTTTTCTGTTTATTTTTCTTTAAGTCAATGTTGAAACAATTTCACATTTTATCGAATTTGTCTCAATATTATTTACCCATATCAAAGCAGAATGAGAAAAAGATAAAAGTACAGAGAATTATTCAAAGTACATTAAAATGTTTCTAAGATTTTGTTGACAATGCTGTGGTTTCTGATTTCAAATTCAAGTATTTTGAAAACCAATATTTAGAAATTGGGAGGTTTTATATGTTTTATGTGATGGAGAAATATCATTTTATGAAAGTTAAATGTTCCTTTTGTTTGTTCTGATTAAATATTAAAAAATAAGTATTTTTAGTTGTAGATTTTGTTTTTGTTGTAAATTTTGTTTTTGTTGTAGATTTTGTTTTTGTTGTAAATTTTGTTTTTGTTGTAGATTTTGTTTTTGTTGTAGATTTTGTTTTTGTTGTAGATTTTGTTTTTGTTGCAGGTTGTGTTGTACCAGTATGACATGACATTATGTAATAATTTGATATCAATTTTCTAGATATTTTCTATGTAATGGTGTTTATAGTATATATTTGATGGAATAGTGAAGATCACATTTATATGTCAAAAAATCTGAAAAAAATTCCTCTTAACTCTTGAAATGGATACTTTAAGGGCTTCGGTTCTGTAAAAGCTTTTATTTTTTGTGGATGCCAAGAACTTGAGAAGTATACTGGTGTGAACACAAATTTGTGGATTTCCACAGATTCATGTTTTCACAAAAATGAGGACCCACAAATAATGATTTCACACTTGAGACCTTTTAAATTTCTTTACAGGAATTGTAAAGAGGTTTTCTGAATTTTTTAATATGGATCAGTGACACAAATAGCATCAATTTGCACCATTCCAATTTTAAATCGGAAGTGTGTGGTTTCTGTAATTCCACTAGAAGTGTTTGATGATGTCACTAATCCCAAAATAGGCTTTATCACATAAGACCCTTCGAGATTAATGACGTCATCAAACACTTAGTTTTAGTGTAATTGCAGAAACAAATGAAATTTGATTGGAAATTGGAATGGTGCCAATTGATGCTAACAGTGTGTCCAATACACATGAAAAATTTAGAAAACCTCTTTACAATCCCTTTAAGAACTGATTAGAAACAGACGGCAGAATAAATGCAAAAGAGAAAGTAACGATGTAGCATATTGTTAATTTCAATACTAATACAAAAATAATTTGCTTTCATAAACCACTTTGTTTTCTATATTCATTATACATTCACAACAAATATATTTGTTTTGCTGCTGGCTGATTAAGAAACAAGAAAAATTTGGTGAAATCACTCACTGAGCTGAATAAATTTTTTGACGCAAAGAAACAAAGTTTTAAATTTGAAGCACCATTTTCAAATGCATAAAAAGTTTCAATATAAAATTTTCACTTACAAAATGGGTTAATACATGCAAGCTCAAATCCTATCTTTTAATAAGGTAAATGTGTCTGCATCCTCGTGAGAAAATTTGTCCAAACAGACTTCTGTCTATTTCGTATGAGCAAATTTGGACAGAAACTCTTTCTATTTTACTGCATTGATCTGTTTCGATTGAAGTCAAAACAAATGTAAATTTGGAAGAAATACTGAGAGTCAAACGACGGTCAAGAGAAGTATGTAGAAAAGTTTTTCTCCAAAATAAACATTGATTTTAAACATTGTAAGTTGTCGGCCATGTTGTCACAGTGTACAACAATTTGCAAGTTTACCATAAAAGACGTGACTTTTAAAAGTTCAAAGCACAACTGAAAAAAAAACCTGACAGAGTATTCTCCCTTTTATTTGACAGACGGACAGTTTTTTGTAAATTCAAAATTGTAAAGCAGCTAGTGTAGTATCCTTGAACAGCTCTCAAACTGTCAGAAATATTACAGGACAAACTATAAGCAGTTGAGAACTGCCTTGTGACTAATTTTGTGTTTCTGATCAAATTAAGACTCTACTTACCCTTTCTTCAACATGATGTTCTGGTTCTGGTTCAGGTTCAGGTTCCTCTTCTGGTTCGGGTTCAAGGTACTCCTGTTGTACTTCCTGTCTGGTAAAATTGTCATCTTCCATCACTGGACTGCTACTCCTAACTTGTGACACTGTTTCTACAGCCTCTGGACTGTAGCTTCGTGACTTACGCACCTCAGTTACTGTTTCAACAACTTCTGGGCTTCGACTTCTGGACTTTCGAACTTCAGTAACTGTTTCAACAACTTCTGGACTCTGACTTCGTGACTTGCGTACTTCAGTTACAGTTTCAACAATATCTGGACTCTGACTTCGTGACTTGCGTACTTCAGTCACAGTTTCAACAATATCTGGACTCTGACTTCGTGACTTGCGAACTTCAGTTACAGTTTCAACCACTTCAGGACTCCTACTCCTTGATTTGCTGGTTCTGGTAATTACTGTTTCTGTGATGGTGTCACCATCTGGTCCAGTACTTGATGATGTAAATGTTTCTGAAGTTTCCCAATTACCTCCAGAATTTCTGATGTCTTGAAGTTGGTCAGATTCTTGAGCAGAATCATCTAATGGTCCACTATTGTTGGAATAATCATAGCTAGTTTCACTTTGAATGATATCTTGGTCATAGCTGCCATCTTGGATTAAGTTGTCATTGTACTCTTGATTAGCAGAGTTGTTCATATCATACAAAGGATTGCTGTTCTCAGATGCTTTTGTCGCAGGTTGTGAAAATAACTGTTCATCATCTATATCATCAGCATTTGATAAATCATATAAGGGATTCGATGAATTTGATTGCGAAACTTTTTGATTGGATTCTACAGCACTTAATATTTCATTAGCAAATTCACTCTCGGTGTTTTCAAACTCGTACAAGGGATTGGTGTTATCAGACGACATTTCGTATAATGGGTTAGAATTTGATGGTAAATCGTCAAATTGATGTCCGTTGAAAGGATCAGGATTTAATCCATTTTGTTGTTCAGAACTTTTCAACTGAAAAGAGAAAATAAAGAATGTTCAGTTTTTGACTCCAATCCGATTCTGTAAAACATTCCACATTTCATTTCAGTGGCCAGTGGCCATGTCATACAAATATACAATCAGCCATTTCAGGCCTGTTGTTAAAAAGCTTGTAACATTCGATTTTTTTTCGAAATATTTCGATAAATTGGACTATAGGCTACAATATTTCACAAAAAAGCCCATGGACTTGATTTAACTTGGCATAGATTTTAACTAACAATATAGTCTTTATAATTAATTTATAATGATAACCAACTATACGCAGAATCATTATCAAATTTCAAAATGCACAAAAGTAACGCAAGTATGGCACTGGAAGTTTCATTAAACTGAAATTCTATATGTATAATCAAAATTCTTCAAGATTAAAGAACTATCTGAAACTTACAGTATATATCTTATCAATGGGGAATAACTCTTACAGATATAGTCATGACTGATTATCTTAAGATGTACAATACTAACACATATATACATGTGATAATAGCACCACATCATTTCATTTTTCAATTAGTTGCTTAAGTTGATTAATTCTGCTTTGTTTAGGACCTTACTATAATAGTTTTCAATAAATTAGAGTATCAGAGATCGAAGACGAGCAATACGCTATTGTAGTCAATGGCATCACTATGAAAATCAGACTCATTTCATTTTCAATGTACACCAAAAATTTCTGATTTTCACACCCTGTAGTACTTGGGACAATAAATTATCCTTTAATTCGAAAAACAATATTCTACTCTCTGAAGGAGGGCCTAGCAGTAGACCCGGAAATAATGAGTAGACCCAGACATAATGTAGGATCTACCTCTAATTAACCCTTTCAACCCTAGCGGCCGGTTTACAGGTCATACAACTACATAATATATACCCGAGCAGTCATAAACCGAGTGTCACTAAGTGACGTCACACAATGTTATCGTCATACACTTTCACATAATATTACTTGAAGTTCAGGATATATGATGTTTTATTTCAATTACACTCAGGATTCAAAGAGTTAATATACAAAAAATTAAATTTGTACTCTTCATAATGCTGCAAGAAAAGCCCCAAACCAGAGAGGCAAATACAATATAACTTACTTAGTGTTTTTAAGGTGATAAGTTTAGTATTTAAATGATGAGAAGGTATTTAACTAGACAAAGCTATATTATATTGTATACCAGGTTATAGAGGTCAATAAATTAACATACCAGTATTCAAATTACAATATACTCATTCATACTTCCTTACCTTTGTTTAATATATTCACACAGAAACTCAGTCAACTGAGTCACAATATTAACAACCTTGTCACATATATATACCAAAATTTTACAAATTAACATTAAGAATTTAGCTTATAAATACTGTAATTAAACCAGAACAAAGGAAGAAGAACTTTCCTTTAGAACCCTGGTTCCCACTGGGGGTGTGGGTCTACTATGTCAGGGGTGGGGCCAACTGGTGTAGGAGAAGAATTTTGAATTGAGAGAGCACCTCACAAATTTATGGGGTGTGAAAGCTCCAGGTGATTGCTCCAGGGGTGTGAAGGCTGAAATAGGTTGGAAACCACTACCAAACCACTTTAGGACAACCTAGAACTGGTGTGTAATGGCCCGACCGCTTTTATTCTGGTTCAACTCTTCAAGAGCACCAAAGCAAGAGTGACCCTCTTTTTATAATAAAAAATGCAGAGGTGCCTGGTCAAGTAAATGCTATAATCTATTTAGATTCTAAATTGATGCTGAGTTAACAAACTCAGATGCAGAGTGGAACAACTGTGAACATGTGAAAAGTGAAGGAATCAAATTTTAGCTTTTTCAATCCCTGTAGTTCCTTTGATTCCCCAAGAATTTCTACTTCCACACACAATCTTTAACATGACTTTTCAAAAGACTGGCAATTCCTCAGAAAATTGGGTGGGTGGGTGGTTTATCACTATTGGTCTGAGAGGCATCTTTCAACTAACACAGACTGAGTCTTGTTTACATCTTATCTTGTACCTTCCTGTACTTGTGTAACATTAAACTGTATCCAGAGGAAGAATTGATAATGAAACAAGGTAGTGAATCACCTTCTATAAACATTGATAGCAGATGCAAATGAGTACAAAGGTGCAATTCTGCTGTATGTTCAAACAGATACAGAAGAATATTCATGATGAATGTAGCTCTGCCAGTGGAATTGTAAGGTCATTTGCTTTTTTATGTTCCCCCAAAAAAAGGTGGTCAGTCATTTGTATTCATGGTCTGGACAAAGTCAACTGTCCAAATAAATGATCTTTCCAGATTACTGCAGTTGATTGACTCAATAATCTAGACAACCTCCTAGCCAAAAGATTTATCCAAAGACCTTCATCATGTTCAATCCTTGAGAAATAAGTTGTTATCCTTGTTATGAAATGATATTGTTCTTCATGAAAATACCTATTAAATATAAAGTGTTTATATTCTTATAACAGATGCTAACAATAGGATGAAGATTGTTACCAAATAGCATTAGCCGTTTAATTGGGGTCATAACAAAAGAGACCATTCAATGCAGAGATATAATCCAGTGTTAAATATCTAAGGCACTTCATTGCAACTAAAAACCTACATTCTTTCCTTGATCTCCAAGCAATAAATCACTGATTCTAATCAACATTGGCAGACGTGCTGAAAATTTATCTGAAGAAAAACAAGTGCACCATCTGTTAGATTGCTAATTTGTGTTTTTCTCATATTGATTAAGATTTCTTAAAATAAAGACCATAAGTTTCAATTTCAAGTGAAACTCTATTATGCCATTTCCTTAACAAATGTCAATATGACCTTTAACACAAGTCTGACCTGATGTTTTCTTTTAGCTTACATAGCTTAGTCTGTGGTAGATGTAGAATATATTATGACAGAATAAAAAACTTCTAGAAGTGAAAAGGAGTTTTACATCCTACTTTTTCAATTCATATAGATAAGTATTATAAGATCATATACATCAATAATAAACCATTTTCTGCCCATCTTTAAAGAACATCGCAGTTCTGCTGTGAAACTGCAAAAATGAAAATCTCTCTGAAATTCTTGTCTTAAAGGAGCACTTTCACTATCCGTTCGACCAATCATACCTTAGTTTCAGAAACAAGAATCATTTTAGCTTACATAATCAGTAATAGTATTCACAGCTCATCGTCAAAATTTGAGCCTTCAAATCCATGTGTATTCATAATTATTCACGTTTGAAAGTTAAAAATTTGACTTGAATTTAAGTCAGACTGTGATATATAGAGAAAACACATATATAGGAATAGACAGTTCGAGGTATATTTGAAGGGATTATGCTATTTTCGTGCGTTTTAGACTTCTTAAGACTATTAAAGCACAATAAAAACCCAAATCAATCCCTGAAAATGCCGACTGTTCCGTTTAAAGGGAATCAAAGACATTCCCTAGCCCTTGTGTACCAGAAATCGTACTACAGTTCTCCATTTGCAGTATTTTGACAAATCATACACCACAACAAACGTCTGTATGGAATCATAGTCGTAGGCTACTAACTCCTATTGTCCAGATGCACATACAATTGCCAGAAAACCTCTTTTGAAATCAATTAAAATTTCAATTATTTTGCTTAACAAAATACATGTCACTAAAGGCCTAATGCTAGCATGAGTCATAAACATATAGCCATTGATCCAACAAGGTGGTATTATCTATATCAATAAAATAAGACTTGCTTACAAAAGGTTTACATAACTTGATCAATAAGGATCATTTCACTATGCCCGAATTTATTTCATTGAAACTTCCTGCTATCCTACAACTACAACCATTGACATCATAAAAATATATCCTTGATTCAGTTTAAATTATTCAGTTATTTCAATTCAACTTCAACCCTATTGTGTGATCTTTCATGATAGTTTATAAAATGTTTGGTGTTTGTTTTAATGTTTATTTACAAACATCTTGTGTAAATTATATGATATAAACTACTTAAAAAGTTTCTGTCTGTTTTCGAAAACTATGTTTAAGTGATTGTAAAGAGGTTTTGTATACTTTTTATGTGTATAGGGGACACTGATAGCATCAATTTACACCATTCCAATTTTCATTCGGACGTCTGTGGTTCTTGCATTTCAACTAAAACTAATGCGTTTTAAGACGTCACTAGAGGGGAACTGCGTAGACATCAGTAATAGCTTCTGGAAGCTCTCCTCCAGAGACATCATAAAATGGGTTAGTTATAGTGGAATTGCAAGAACCACAGACATCAGACTGAAAATTTTGAATGATGCAAATTGATGCTATCAGTGTCCTCTATACACATACAAAATTTAGAAAATTTCTTAACAATCCCTTTAAGATTTGAATTCAGTTGGATTATCTGGCTCATAATGATTTCCACCAGGAAATAATCTAGGATGGCTATTGGACTCATATCCTAACGTTTATGACTTGTTATTTCATATACGATACAGAGTACAATGAAGAAATTCTCAGCAAAATTGTGACAACTATGATTGCTACTAGCAACTCAAACCAATAATTCAAAAGATTTTTTTACCACTTGGGATTTGAGCACTCACATTTTATCTAATCCAAATGACAATTCTACAACTGCCTAGAAAACGAACCAACCAACTTAATGGAATTCTCCAGGATTTGATTTAGAATTGAAGATAAAGAAAGGTAGAAGACAATAAAAATAAGAACGAAAAGTATAAATAGGCTACACGGAAGGAAATAATTATCCAGGTTTCCTGCTAATTTACCATAATTTACTATAATCAATCAATTTTACATACTCTTTACTCATTATATTACATTCCTTTATAACTACTTCCAGTTATACAGGAACTTACTCTTTCAGTTATACAGGAACTTACTCTTCCTGTTAATACAGGATAT